AACCAAAAAAAAAAAAAAAAAAAAAAGAAAGAAAGAAAGAAAGAAAGAAAGAAAGAAAAAAACCATGCTTGTTAGAGATTTTTAAGATAAAATACAAAGATGAAAGAAAGAAAAAACCATGCTTGTTAGAGATTTTTAAGATAAAATGCAAAGATCACAATAGAGCTTTCTTCCAGCAACTGATGAGGGAATGCAGAGACCCAAATCGGAACACTGGACTGAACCCCCTAAATCCAATTGAAGAGTGAAAGGAATGAGAATACGACAAAGAGATCAAGACCATGATGGGTTCACCCACTAAAAAAAAAAAAAAAAATAGCTTGCCTGAGCTTATGAGAGCTCACCAACTCCAGTTGGACTGGGAAGGATCAAACTTGGGGCCAGACTAGTCCCTTTCAATGTGATTGACAGTTGTATGGCTAGGACAGACTGAGGGGCCACTGACAGTGGCACCAGGACTTATCCCTACTTCCGGTACTGGATTTTGGGGATCCTCATCTCTTGGGATGTATACCTTGCTCAGCCTATATACAGTAGGGAGGGCCTTGGACCTTCCAAAAGGCAATATGTTATACCACCTCTGAGTAATAGATAGAGGTGGGGTGGGAGGGTGTATGGAGGGAATGGGAAGAGAGAAGGGGGCAGGAACTTGGATTTTTTTTTTAAAAAAAATCTAATAAATTTAAAAAGAGATAAAATGTAAATGATTGTTCACCTGCATTAATCAGCCATTAATCCACATTCATATATAAAAGGAAAAGAATCTGATTTACTGGGCCCAAACCATCCCTTACCTATACCAAAGATCAGGATTCCAGTATGCTGCTCAAGGGGCCATCATATGGTCACCACCAGCCTTAAGTTCCTATGTGCCATAAAATATATTAATTCTTGAACCACTTCATGTTAAACCTGTTTGAAAAGCAGTTGTGTGTCAAGGTCTTCAGTGTTCATTAAGATGGATTTGAACCCTGTCTGTAGACCCACAGGGCATTGTCCTTGATATCCCCCTGACAAACCATCCTAAATTTTTGGATCACACCATTGCAGCACCATAGAGTTCTAAAATTACCAGTTGACGTCACATTGTTGACAGTCAATTGCAGGAACAAGAAAAAAAAAAGGATTTGCATGAGCGCTTGAGTCTCCCTTCAGACCAGAAGAGGAAGGGCAGTGTCCTGTGTACATAGCACTGGCAAACAGACTAGGCAATACCTAAATCACAGACTAATGTTTTAGCAGTGAGCTGCAGAGCTCTCGATCATAAAGAAGGACCTGATGGGGCATGGCAAGTGACTGTGTAAATTCCCAGCATGTATTAATTCCTTCCATGTGAATAATGACATATTATTGGTGGGCTTACAATTTTGGGATAGCAGCTTTAACCACTGAGTATTCAGTTCCAAATAGCTGACTCTCCCATGAAGATGTGTGCAATCCCGGGTGACACAGTTAAGTCTGCTGAGAGCTTTGAGACACAGGCCATTGGCTGTCACTCTTTCTAAGCTTACAGGAACTCAGGAACTAAAATATTACATGGGAAAAAGTCATATAGTTATACATACAAAGGCCTGCCCTTTTTCAAAAAAAAAATTCCTACTCTTTTTCAAAAATGGAGGATGGTTGCAAGGAAGGAGAAAGGCAGGGAAGTGAGAAAAAACTGTAGAGCTCAAAAAAATCAATTAAAAAGACAAGCTACAATCCCAGGAAACCTATACAACAACAAGAAACCTAAGAGACATACATGGATCTTAAATACATGACAGTTAGAAAAGAAGAGATCTCCTGCAATATTTGGTATCTTGGGAATTATGGGAGTATGAGAAGGGGAGAGCAGAGGAAAATATATAGCTTAAATTAAAAAAATATACAACACTCGTGCACAAAAGAATTCCATCTTGTATTTATTATGAACAAATGTATGTGTTTATACATTTATATCATTTTATAGTAGTGGTTCTTACCAAGTAGGTCATAAACCTAGAGGCTCAAAAGGCCTATACAAGGCTTCAACTATGTCCATCAGAAAACACATATTTATTATACATCTTATAACTATAGCAGACTTACACTTCTGTTTTGTAGAGACAATCAGCACTTGGTTATTACAGAAGGCAGTTGTATGATGAAACAGAGAAAGGACATTTCAAGGTGTTTAGCACCATTGAAGAGAAGGCTCATCTTCAGAATAGGATGCCTAGGAAGGCATCCTCAGTGCCTTCAGTAACTGTTAGAAAAAGAGAAAGAGATCCTTTGTCCAAGGAAACAACTTCATTCTGAATCTGCTGCAACTCTGTTCCAAGCATGGCATGGGCCATTACAATGTAGACTCAACATTTGGGTGAACTTTTGAGGTTCTATTGGTCCAGTATACAAAAAAGATGCAACGTTACAGGTCATGGATTCTTAGTATATGATTTCGCTAGATTCTGTTACAGGCATCTGTGTTTAACAAAAATACATATTTTGACCTTGTCTGCCTTCAAAATATCAATCTAACACATAGAAAGAGAGATAGACCTGCTTCTGCCTTCTAAGCGCTGGTATTAAAGGCGTGAGTCAATACCTGTTATAGCCTATTATATTTTGTATTTAGTAATAGGTCAAACAGTTTCTCTGATGTTTACTGAGGACTGCATTTCTTTGGCCAGATGAATCCCTTTAAAGGTTGAAGAAATGACAGGGGTGAATTTCCTATTCAGTTTCATTATCTAGTGATGTGATGATGGTTTAATAAAGTCCCTCTCATGAAATAAATACGAGAAGCACCAGAATTAGAAGATCATATTGTATGCATTTACAATGTTGATGGTATCACCCCTTTTGTTTTCACATGTATGGGATATATTAGAATGCAGTGACCTATGATGATGTGCATGTGAACTTCACCCCGGAAGAGTGGGCTTTGCTGAACCCTTCCCAGAAGAATCTCTACAAGGATGTGATGCTGGAGACCTTCATGAACCTCACCGCTATTGGTAAGATGGTGAAATTTACTCACATTTTAACGTAAGGGGACAAGTGTTTCCTGGTTATTGAGGGTTTTCTGTAATGTGGATTGAGAAAGAGGAAGAGTATGGTCAATAAATCATTCATGGTGCTAAGGTTCATTGAAGATAAAAACTTAAATTTTGCACAATTTCCAATCACATATCACATATTTTCTGGTATTATTTTTAGGATGCACTTGGGAAGATCAAAATATTGAAGAGCATTCTCAAAGGTCTAGAGGATTTGGAAGGTAACTTTAGTAAGCAAGATTACTTAAGTGTGTGTCTGAGAAAAGCTAAATGTGCCCTGGATTATAAAAAAAAATGCAGCAATATAAAGAAACAAGCTTAAAGTGTATTGATGGTTATTAAATTCTCAAAAAGCCATACACCTCAATGTCCGTTAGGAAAGTACTGTTTGCGAGGTGAGGACTAGGTGTTGTAGCCACCTCTGTGTGTCATGAGTCACTTTGTAAATGTAGTATGACTCACACTCTTGTATATAAGTTTTTTTGATTCTCTGAGTTTTGCCAGTTCTCTTTACATTTGTGAAAAATCTCATACAAAAATAAGATGTTCCAAAAGTAAACCATGTAATAAAAGCTCTTACCATCAAAGGCATCTTCAAAGATGCACAGCAACTTTAATAAGGGAAAACATGAGATTACAAGACATGATAAAAGCTTACGTTCTGATTTCTCTTCAAACTTACACCATGTCTTAGAAGCTAAGAGCACTGATGTCCTGAGTTCAACTCACAGCAATCACATGGTGGCCCACAACCATTGCTATTGAGATCTGATGCCCTCATGTGGCATGGAGGTGTACAGGCCTGAGGAACATTCTGTACATAATAAGATAGACTAAATGCTAAAATAAATTCATACAGATATAAGGATTTAAAGTGTAATGAATGTTTTAATGCTCTTATATGTGCAAAGTCACCTTCTGAATATATTAATGAGTTATACACTTTCTATAACAGTCACTTTGAAAGATATGAAAGAAGTTTTATAGAAGAGAAAGCATGTGAACGTATTCAACATGATGAAGCCATTGCATGTGCGACTCGACTACAAATACATAAAAGAACGCATACTGGGGAGAAACACTATGAATGTAATCAGTGTGGTAAAGCTTTTACACGTCACAGTATTCTTCAAAGACATAACAGAACACACACTGGAGAGAAACCCTATGAATGTAATCAGTGTGGTAAAGCTTTTACATGTAACACTTATCTTAAAAGACATAAGACAACACATACTGGAGAGAAACCCTATGAATGCAATCAGTGTGGTAAAGCTTTTACACGTCACAGTAGTCTTCAAAGTCATAACAGAACACATACTAGAGAAAAACCCTATGAATGTAATCAGTGTGGTAAAGCTTTTGCACATCACAGTAGTCTTCAACAACATAAAAAAATACATACTGGAGAGAAACCCTATGAATGTAATCAGTGTGGTAAAGCTTTT